ATGAGTCCTTCTTTGCTGTGCTGCTCCCCCAGCACACCACATGAGTAATCATGAAAGGACGGCGAAAGACTCAAACGCAAGGCTTTGATGGACACACCCCCTGAATTATAGGAGCCGTCTCCCGGTCAGCTCGACGCCATGCAGGGATTTTAACGACCAACCACAACCTCGCGTAAACAGTTCAGCGTGACTGAATATCTGGGTTCCTCCTAGATCGATTTTTAACCACCTCTGCCTCGGCTCCTCGCCACAGAATAAAACATGAAATGTTGTAAGAGCTCTGTAAGTGAGGGACTCCTCAGCATCAGAACGACTCGTGTTTCTGCTTCTAACAGATCTGAATCCAAACTCAAACGACTCCAGGGCATCTGAAGACACTGAGACGTGGTCTCGTCTCCTCCTCTGCCGCTCATCCATCCATCCATCATGTTCTTTAATGTCTCTGTAAAGCACTTTGAATCACCTTGCTGTTGAATTGTGCTATATAAATAAACTCGCCTTGCCTTACAGCCACCTGTCAGACAAGGAGGCCACGCCCATAATGATGCATACAGGTGACATATACAAACATTCTCCCCTCGTACAGCTGTCATGAAGGTGAAATTATCTGCAGAGGCCAGAACAGTTTGTGAGGCTTCCACGTCAGTTTGTGTCCCTCCGTCTGCTACAGCAACAATAATAACTGAAGAGACGCTTTGCAGTGTTTACATGCTCAGAATTCGTTCCTCGGTCTTTGTGGAAGCTTCTGTCATCTGCACAGCTTGTGACTCCATGGCGGGTTTAACACGTTACACGGGGTCATGTGCTCACTCGTAATGGCTGCCCTCTCTGTTTCCATCACAGCCGTTAAATCAAAGCCAGAGTGGAAAACAAAGTTTGCCCTGCAGTGCTGACATTTGAACATGAGACCAACCCGAGCGTGGGACAGAGGAGACGTCTGTTCACGCCGCTGCGTCTCGCAGACACATGACAGTCAGCTGCTGATACGCACGGATTCTGCATTTCAGTCAAATACTGCCACAGTACATACATATTACTTATTAATGCAATTTACACTTCGCTCTTACCGAACGTCTGTGTTTTTGACTAACTTCATTTGTACTTCTCTTTGTTTTTTCTTTGACTTCAGAGCGGTTGCCATGGTGATTTTACTGTAGAAACCTGAACAGGTAGAAACAGGCCGCATCATCATCATCATCATCACCACAGGCTGTGTAAGCTCAGGCTCTGGCTGCTGGGCTGGAGTCTGCTTGGCTAGCTTAGCGTTAGCAAGCTGTCTGTGCAGATGTTAGCAGTATAAAGCAGCTTTTTCTCTTCTGAGGCCGTTTGCACTTTACTATCTTGCTCTTCTCCATCTGCACAATACAAACAACGCTAATGTCCACCCTTCTAAAGCTGTAACACTCTTCATTCTTCATGCTGTGGAGCAGGGAAATTATTTTACTGCTATTGGTAAATAATCATCATCATTACCATTGCATTAATAATATAATCTGCAGCATTGATATTGTATTCAGAGGTTTAAACAGTGTGTCTTTCAGAAAGACTAAGTTGCAGGCTGACAGGAAGTTGCAGGAGTTGACAGGAAGTTGCAGAAGGCTTTGCAGAACTGAAACCGAAAGTCATTCTGAG